CTGGGTTCGATTCCTCAGCACCACATAAACAGAAAAAGCCGGAAGTGGCGCTGTGGCTCCAGTGGTAGAGCACTAGCCTTGAGCTGAAGAGCTGAGGGACAGCGCCCAGGCCCAGAGTTCAGGCCCCATGACCGGCAAAAAAAAAAAAAAAGGTATACTTAGAGGTAGAACTCCTCTGAACAACTAATGTACTGTTTATCAAAATGAATCCCAGGAAGTCAAAACATGTTTTGGGGGTATATAGTAAAAAGGGGAGTACAGAAATGGAGGAAGGAGAGGTGTGCAAATGCAGTTGTTATCTTTTTTTTTTTTTTTGCTGGTCGTGGGGCCTGAACTCTGGGCCTGGGCACTGTCCCTCAGCTCTTCAGCTCAAGGCTAGTTAGTGCTCTATTACTTGAGGCACAGTGCCACTTCCAGCTTTTTCTGCTTATGTGGTGCGAGGAATCGAACCCAGGGCCTCATGCATCCAAGGAGCCAACTACCCAGACCCGCAGTCGTTATCTTTAATGCACATTATGTAAAATTTAACTACATAACTTGAGGGTAGAAATCAGAGGGGGGAAAATGTGGAAGAATGAATGAAGAGGTGACATTGACCAAAAAGCATTGTACTCATAACTGAACATATAGAATTATAATCCTTTTGTACAACTACTTAATAATAACCTGTAAAATTTTTAAAATTTAAAAAAGTAAGAGGTAATTAGCAGAACCTCCCCCTATGAAGAATATGTACATAGGGAATATTTAGCACACAATAGCTTTTAGCCTATATTGTAAGTAGGCTAAAAGATTAAGTTTTATTGCAATGAGTAATCTCTATACCTCCAATCCTGGAGGTGTAGATCAATGGTGGCACACTTTTTTATTATGTACAAAAAACTAGATTTGATCCCCAACAACACATACATACAAACATACATACACATACACACCACTAATAGTATCTCAGTATGAACATGCTTCCTTTCTACTGTTTTCATTGAAAAATTTCTATCTTAAGAGCTTACTAATAAAATGGAAACCTTCAATGCCCTTGGTTGTCAAACTATCTGCTCTCCCACAGACAGACTACAAAGAGAAAAGAAAGAAAAAATTATCTGTTCACTAATTCAATTATTTTCCAGTCACTACTGAGAGGAAAAGAAATGATAAGGAAGATACAAAGTATGAGCCTTCCTTTATTTCAGGATAGTTTTATAACTTCAAAAATGTAAGTAAGTGAAAAGCCAGTGTATTTCTTTACAAAACTCCAAACAAAAGGTTCCTACCTTTTTGTCTTGATGATAGTAGGAAAGAACTGGGAATCTTCCCTTGCTCCGGAACTTGGAACTCCCAACAATTATTGGTTTGCTTGCTATCCAGGGTACATAAAGTTCCCTGGGGTAAGTTTCACAAATCTGCAAATAGCAAAACAAATAACTACTTGATTCATGTTTAAAAATCATGAGGTTTAAAAAATTCCAAAACTTTAAAAACTCAAATGCAAGAACAGTTGTATATAGACAAATAGCACAATAAAGTATGGGAGGCATGGCTGGGGTGGTAGAGCATCAGCCAGCCAAAGAGTGAAAGCATCAGATTAAGAATTCATTCAAATCCCAGCCTTGAACAAAAAAAAAAGAAAAAAAAGGAAGGAAAGAAAAAGGAAAAAGAAAGAAATACCATAACATGGCTCTTTGTACAATTAGTATATAGTAGCTTAAAAAAATTTTAAGAAAAGCATGTTACAATTCAGAGCACTTGCTACTATGACACTTTCTCTCTGGTCCTAACATCTTCTGAGTTTCTCCCAAAGGCAGTAAGTTACCTTGTATTCTCTGTTGGCATCAGACAACTGCCAGTGTGAATTTGGCACTCCCATCCTCTTATATTCCTCAGCAAGGTCAATGAGGTGCCAACCTTGTAGCCGTTCTGAATCATTTTGTTTAGGATTATAAGAAAATGCATAGAGATCTTCATATTTTGCTACAGAATATAAAACACAAAACATTAATAATACACTATAAATAATACCTAATACACTACAAATAAAAAATTTTTCTTTAAAACCTTCAGAGAGATAATATGTGAACATTCTTGAATTAAGTATTTTCTAAATTCTGTAATGCAAATGATTGCATCAAAAAGGCATACACATGATTCAATTAATCTGAGATTTAATTCCAAAGTTAAGGTTAATAAAGAATACAATTAGACTTGTATGCTAAATTCTGTATTGAAAATTTTCTTTTCTTAAATGTTAACTAAAAAATATACTCTTCCTATATACCCCTTTCCCAACATGAGATATGAAACAAAAACTGATACTAAAGCAATAAACTAGAGCTGATAAGGAACAATGGCAATGTCCATGATCCCAGCATTTAGGAGTCTGAGACATAGGATTGCAAGTTCAAAGTCATTTTGGCTATACAGTGAGGCCCTATCTAAAAAAATAAAACAAACAAAAAACTTAGAATTGCCAGGCGCCACTGGTTTATGCCTCTTACCCTAGCTACTGGGGAACTAAGATCTGCAGATCATGGTTTGAAGACAGCCCATGCAGTAAAGCCCATGAGACTCTTATCTCCAATTAACCACCAAAAAGCCAGAAGTGGAGCTGTGGCTCAAGTGATAGAATGATAGCCTTGAGCACAAAAGCTCAGGGATAGTACCTAGGCCTAGAGTTCAAGTCCCAAGACCATCACAAAACAAAAACAAAAACCACTTAGAACTCTAGAGATGGCATACAGTACATGCTCTGTGCTGAGAAAAGATAAGTGAACATAAACCTGTTCTTAGAAACCCACTATTGAAATGTGCAATTTGTTGTCAAGAAGCTTTAAAAATGTTAACATAAATCTATGGTTCCTTTGGTCTACTATAAATGATTTATTATCCTTACTATTACCCTTACTTTGAATACCTTTCTTACAATTTAGATCAGTAGTTTCTAATTATGTCTAGCCCATTTTGGAGAATGGAGAGTACACAAGAACTTGACTACCAGAATAACAAAGTATGAAACACTAATGAGATCTTAAAAGTGTCTTGGAGAACCCTTTACAAATTTAGCATGCTAGGACTGGGAAGGTGGCTCAGTGGTAGAGCGTTTGCCTTGCATGCATGAGGCCCTGGGTTCAATTCCTCAGCACCACATAAGCAAAAAGAAAAAAGCCGAAGTGGCGCTGTGGCTCAAGTGGTAGAGCGCTAGCCTTGAGCTGAAGAGCTGAGGGACAGCACCCAAGTCCAGAGTTCAGACCCCACGACTGGACCCAAAAAAACAAAACAAAACAAATTTAGTATGCATGTTTCAGGCCCTAAGTACCATACCTTGTTTTGACAGTTGCAGTAAAGAGTTATAGATATCGTGGCAATCTCTTTCCCTGGGAACAATGAAATGCACAGTCCTGAAATTCTTGCACTGAATCACAAGTGGGCATCCAGAAGTAGTCAAAGCAAGTTTCTCCACTGAGGCAATATGGTGATGTAATATCTACAGCATTAAAAAAAATTAAGAAACCAATGCAGAAAGGACTTAAAATTAATTTTCTTTCAGAGTACATAAATATTAAGAATGCCTTCCTCAAATAAAGTAAAAAATGTTATTTGGTGCACACTCATGCTTAATATATCCAATAGCTTAATGTTTAAGCCAGAAATATGGGAGTCATCTGAGTGGATTAAAAAGTCCTACTATAAACTCAATATCTTGATGGTATTTTAAATGTATGATTACCATTCTTACTGCTACCAATAATACTTTACTACTAAAAACGTCTTTGCCAGTTAGGCACCATGGCTCAGGCCTATAATCCTAACTACTTGGAGGCAGAGATTGGGGGATTGTGATGTGAGACTAGTCCAGGCATAAAAGTTCACAAGACTCAACAAATAGCTAGGCACATGGTAGAGACAATATGAGCCTATCATCTCAAACTAAGGAGGAAGCAAAATGGCTAGGCATAGTGGTATAAGCCTGTAATCCAAGCAACAAAAGGGAAGCAAATGCCAGTATCAAAGTCTAGGATGACTCAATAAAATGAAACACTAACTTAAAAATAACCATCATAAGGTTGGGAATGTGGCTTAGTGGTAGAGTGCTTCCCTAGCATGCAAGAAGCCCTGAGTTTCATTCCTTTGTACCACATAAACAGAAAAAGCTGTAAGTAGTGCTCATAATAAAGGATTAATTTGCAGAATGGTTCTAATTGTAGTGCTCCTGCCTAACAAGTATGAGGCTCTGGATTCAAATCCCAATACTGACCCCAAAAAGTCTATTTTCTCAATACTATTTTTTTTATTAATTTTGGAAAGGTGACATTAAACAAGATGCACTGTATTCATAAAATGTTGAATTACAACCCTTTATAAAACTACTTAAACATGGGGCTGGGAAGGTGGCTCAGTGGTAAAGCGCTTGCCTTGCATGCTTGAGGCCCTAGGTTCGATTCCTCAGCACCCATAAGCAAAAAAAAAAAAAAAAAAAAAGCCAGAAGTTGTCATGTCAAAAACGAACTTTACAACTTTGGTGGGGGAGGTGTTTGGGGGGGGGGAGGTTGGGAAGGGATGTGAAGGGTAAACAAAGGAGGAGGCTGCAATGCTTGTTAAGAAATGTACTCATTATCTTGCCCATGTAAAGCACCAGCCATGAGTAAGCTAAGTGGGAGCACAGGACCTTGAATCCAAGTTCCAATTATGTCTCTCTCTCTCTCTCTCTCACACACACACACACACTAAATTTAAATAAAATATACACTAAAATATAAAAAAGACAAGCCATAATGACATACATTATCTGACAAAGTATTAAGATATAGAATTCTTATAAAATCAATAAAAAATGGCGTTGGAGAGGTAGCTCAGTGGTACAGCACTTGCCCAGCACGTGCAAGGTTCTGAGTACAATTATCTACACCACAAACACAAATCAATAAAAACAAGAGATAATAGAAAAAGAAAAGAAAACCCAATAACTGGACAGAAAGATAGAAGAACCTATAGAGACAGAAAGGAAAATGTCTTATCCATCAGCAAGTTAACAACACAATTGTACAACCAAATACACAGACAAAAGTCTTTAAGTAGATAATGGCAATGTTGTAAAACATTGAGGTAAAACAATGTAAAATATTCTGAGGATAAATCCAAAACATCATTTAATATACATATTTAAATATATTATCCTTAAATGAATATGTAAGTATATTACAGCTGTATATAATTAACATTACATTATATACAAAATCAGTATATTATATATTACGCTTATCCAAGACCTGTTACTCCCAGGCAAATATCTAAGATAAACTCTAAAACAGCTAGCTAGCTATACAAATAAAAGATTTTTACAGTATTAACTTTTCAACATCATGTGATTTAGAGGCACCAAAATGCCTACCCAGTCAGAAACCCAACTGTAACTTTTGGCTCTTCAAAACCTTCACTATTAATAGCCTGCTGATGACTGGACGTAAGTAAACATTACTAATAAATCAGTGACTAATGCATATTTTATATTGCATACATTACAAGCAGTGAAAGGTAAGTAAGAATGACATCATTTTTACACTATGCAATTTCCTAAAGACAGGCATGAACTGTATATCTTTTGCTGTTTTGCCATACTAAGGGTTGACCCCAGGGCATTGACATTGCTATAGCTGGCAAATGCCCTTCCACTTGAGCTACACCTCCAGCTCTTTGATAGTTTGTTTCAGAGACAGGGTATCCCCACTACCTTTACCCAGGCACTTGTGATCCTCCTACTTCTACCTGTAAGTACTGAGATTACAGACACACAACCACATCCAGCCACTACTCAGTATTTGAAGTGGATACTCACAACACTTGAGCTCATACAATAAGAATGGATGTGGTGACAAAATTATTAGAGTAATACAGTATATAGTATACTATATGCAGCAATGATTTAATATGGCATGCTTACATTTCTCTATTATCTGTACCTGTATCAATTTTGATAAATTGTAACTATAATAGGTTTATATTTTATGGCAGTAAAAGACAAAATTACCTGCATACATTTAAGCATCCATGACAAACTTTTCATTGATTTATTCGATATTTGCATACTACTTATAACATTATTTTTTCAAAGTTACAAATCTCAAGAAAAAAGTAAGCATATAAGTGGAGCCATACAGATCAAATCCAGTCAGTATATTATTTGAGTCAACTATAGACTGTATTATACATACATTTTCAAGTATATTTATTTGTATAAATATGAAATGCTTGGCCTATCATATATATTGTAATCTTTATCATAACAAAACCTCATAAACAATATAATTCTAATTCCATATAAAAATATTGAAATATACTAAATAATCCATTCAATCTGTTAATATATTTCAATTTTTAAAAACTAAAAGTTAACAAGCAGGTATTTTCAATTATTTGGAGGTAAAGAATCTGGTACCCTACAGAATTCCATATTACTCATACATCACTGATTATAGAACGAAGTTCTGGAGTGACTGAAAATATTTTTCTTGAGTATTACAGTTGTATGCCTATAATCCGAGCACTCCAAAGGTAGAGGCAGGATAACTGCATGTTGGAAAGTGGCTGAGCAACACAGAGTTGGAGGCCAGCCTGAATTATATAATGAGATCCTGTCTCAAAAAAACTTTTTTTGTTTTGAAGTAACTAACAATGATTAAGATTTCTGTTATATATGTATTTATATTGTTATATATATTATATTGTATATATTTGTATTTTGAACATATATATATATATTCAAAATAAACCAACAGTAGATCAGTCCATTTTTAGTACTATGGCAAACATTCCTTACCCAGGTTTCTTTTTGATGAGAGTCAATAAATAATAGATGTGTGGCTGTAAGATACAGTGTTCCCGTTAATGATTTGTTGCTGGTACTGAATCGGTCAAGTAATTTTACTTGTTCAACCTAAAAAAGAAAAAGATTTTTATTTTTCATTTCAAAAGCAGTACAAATAATAGTTCTTTTTTTTTTGGGTCCGGTCGTGGGGCCTGAACTCTGGCCCTGGGCGCTGTCCCTCAGCTCCTCAGCTCAAGGCTAGCGCTCTACCACTTGAGCCACAGCGCCACTTCCGGCTTTTTTCTTTTTGCTTATGTGGTACTGAGGAATTGAACCCAGGGCCTTGAGCATGCAAGGCGAGTGCTCTACCACTGAGCCACCTTCCCAGCCCCAAATAATAGTTCTTTTTTAAATCCCAGGATCCATATGCATCTTTTTCAATTTTCTCTTCATTTTGTGGTGAAATATAAGCCTTATTTAATGCTGAATGTTCAATTTAATCTACCTTTTGAGGGAACATGTATGCCACAAGTAACATAGATATTCTCTCATTACAAAATGTAACCAAGGGGCTGGGAAGGTGGCTCAGTGGTAGAGCGCTTGCCTTGCATGCCTGAGGCCCTGGGTTCGATTCCTCAGCACCACATAAGCAAAAA